AAAAAAAAAAAATGTGTGAAATTACTTAATTTTTCTAATCTATTATTAAAAAATATCTAAAATATTATTAAATTTATCTAACATTGATTTATGATGTTCGATATATATACAACTATTATATTTATTTCAGTGCGTGATGTTGGACTCTATAGTCTCATTTTTATTTTTTTTTATTTTTTTTAACAAAACGATAGACATATTATAAATCTCAATCAAGAAAAGAGTTCAATACAACGAGCCAAACCCGAATCAGAAAAATTAAAAGGACACGCTAGAAGCAGCCTAGAATCTACCTACCGAAAGCCAACTCAACAAACAAACTCCACTGCCCGAAGGCCTAGAGATCAAACAAAGCAGCAAAAGAAAACCACAAGGAAAAAACATCAAAACCAACCAAACTAACTAAAAGAACATCACAACCGGGAAAACTCTAACCACTCAAGGTGAGCGGTTTTGATCATCAAATGAGCTGGCAGAAAATGCTTCTAAAAAATCCAAAGGTTTCGACATTTCCACAGCCACCATAAAAGGTAAGTAGTCAGTTGAATACGGGCTATAGCTATGTCAGAAGATCCCACTGAGATAATGTGCCTCCACCATGCCTTGAAAGATCCAACAGAGTGCAGATTGTCCCAGCAGACAGGAGACAAATGCCACACTCTGGCTGCAAAAGGGCAGTGCAAAAGAAGATGCTCAATGGTTTCAGGACTCTCTCCACAGCTTTGGCAAGTGATATCCAAATCAATTCCTCTTTTAAGCAATTTTGTTTTGACAGGCAAAACTCCATTGATACATCTCCAAATAAAGTGTTTGATTTTACCTGGGATTTTGAGCTTCCAAAAGCTATACAACAGATTATTGTTGGAGTGAGTGCTGCTCAGAGGTAAATCCAGATTGAGAAGTTTGCACTTTGAGAGGAAAGAATAAGTGCTGGCCACAGAGAAGACCCCTTTCTTGTCAACTTGCCAATACTTCCTATCTGCAGAACCAGGCTTCAAAGAAGAAATGTTGAGGATGGCCTCACTATCAGCCACATTAAAGAGTTGCTTCACTAGCCATTGATTCCAACCAAGACCTGTGTCATCAATCAACTCTTTAACCTAAGTTATATGTCCTCTAGCAATATCCAAAAGAGTGGGAGTAGGTTTCTGGAGTGATGGAATCCAGTTGACCTCATCAAGTCTGGTATTACTTACATTTCTGATCTCCACAGCATAACCTTTAGCAAACACAGGAAGAACTTCCAACCAATTGGACCAAAGCCAAGAGCAGTTGTGAGCCTTGACAGCTAAGAAGATAGAACCATCAGGAAATATCTGTCTTTTAAAATTTTACTAACCAACAAGTGGGGTTGTGAAGTAATTCTCCACAGTTGCTTACAAATCAAGGCAGTGTTGAAGTTCTTAATATCAATAAAACCCAAGCCACCTTCTTTTTTTGGTAAGGTAAGAGAGCTCCAATTCTTCCAGTGTGTACTTCTAGCCTGCTCCTCACTTTTGGTCCACCAAAATTGAGCACATAATTTTGAGATTTCAGCACAGAGAGAGGAAGGAAGTCTAAAGCATGCCATTGAAAAGACTGGAAGAGACTGAATCACTGCCTTTAAAAGAACCTCCTTGCTTGCTTGAGTTAAAAGCTTGGATTTCTAGCTGTGAAGTTTAGCTTTAACAGAGTCCACCACAAATTGGAAAGCTTGCAGCTTAGATCTGCAAATCCCAAGGGGGAGTCCTAAGTATTTGGTAGATTTATGGGTTGTGATCCCTTGAAAGGTGTTACAGATTATCCTTTGAAGGTACTGAGGAGAGCTCCTGCTAAAAAAGATAGCAGACTTATGGAGATTGACCCTTTGTCCTGTAAATATCCTGTACCTTTCTAGAATATTGAGTATCAACATGGCTTGATCATTACTTGCTTTGCAGAAAAATAGAGAATCATCTGCAAAAAGCAAGTGGGAGATAGCAGGTCCATTTCTAGATAACTTCAGCCCAATCAAGTCTCCAGAATTGACAGCATTAGTAACAAGAGCAAAGAGCATCTCAACAACAATAAGGAACAGATAAGTTGAGAGTGGGTCTCCCTGTCTGATACCCCGAGAAGGAATCACATAACCACTCACTGAACCATTCACCTTGAATGAGTATGAACTAGAAGAGATGCACATCATAATTAACTGAACAAATTCCAAATGAAATCCCATTTGAAGCATAATCTTTTTAATGCAAATCCATTTCACTCTATTAAAGGCTTTCATTAAGTCCAACTTTAATGCCATAAAGTGATTCTTACCAGAAGAGTGTTTATTGAGAAAGTGAAAAGCTTCTTGGCCTATTATCACATTATCAAAAATTTGCCTGCCTTTAAGGAATGCAGATTGAGAATGGCTCATACAGGAATCTAAACAGGATTGAAGTCTGAGAGAGAGAGAGAGAGAGAGAGAGAGAGAGAGAGTTTTAGAAAGGATTTCATAGACCATAGCACAGAGGCTAATAGGTCTAAAATGGGACAGGTTTTCTGGATTAGAGCATTTGGGGATGAGGGTTAGAATGGTATGATTCCAATATTTAAGAATTGATCCATTTTCATTGAAAAAACTAGAAACAACAGCTACCAAATCACCTTTAATCAAATCCCAGAAAAATTGGTAGAAAAGAGCTGTCATACCATCTTCTCCTGGGGATTTCTCAGGGCTCAGACTGAAAAGAGCATGGTGGATTTCTTCTTCAGAGATAGGCCTCAACAGAGCTTGATTCATGTCTTGAGTGATAGAAGTGGTGATGAGAGGAAGTAAAGAATCTCCACCCCATGAGCCATCAGTAGAGAACAGATTAGAGTAAAATTTAACAATATGATCTTGAATCTCCTTGGGAGTAGAGCACACTATGTTCTGATCAGTAAGGAGTCTAGTAATGGCATTCTGTCTCCTTCTATGAAGAGTAAGAGCATAGAAAAATTTAGTATTCTTGTCTCCTTCCTTCAGCCATTGGACCTTTGCCTTCTATTGCCAAAATAACTCTTCCATTTTGTGAGCAGATTCTAATTCCTTTTTGGTGGCATTCAGTTCTTCCCATTTTCCTTCCATTCTTCTACATTGAAGAACATCAAGCTTCTTGTTTAGGTGGTCAATGGTGGATTGCTGTTGAGTTTTGAACTTGGCACTCCAAAGCAGAAGGGCTTGTCTAGTTAATTTGATCTTCTCTTTTAGCTGAAAGAAAGGGGTGCCTCTGAGTTTTACTGTCCAAGCTTTCCTTACCATTCTGTGATGTCCTCCCTTTCAAGCCACCTCTTATCAAAGTGGAATCTGGTGTGAATTCTATCCTTCTTGACCCCAACATTAAGTATAAGAAGGGAGTGATCTGACCCACTTTTGGCAACATTAAGAACAGATGCAGTAGGAAAATCAGCCAGCCAATCCACAGACCCAAAGCCTCTGTCTAGTTTCCCCTCAACCAGCCCTTCAGAAAATCTATTGTTGCACCAAGTAAAGTTATAACCTTCCATTTTAATCTCCACCATAGCCATGTCATTGACAAAATCTCTAAATCCCCTCATGCTAGAATCTGACCTTTTGTTGCCACATTTTTTCTCAGAATTGGAAAGGATATCATTCCAATCCCCTATGATGAACCATTTTGAACCCCATTGCTGCATATCTCTAACAAGTTGGTTCCACTGATCTGATCTAGCATAATTACAGGTACTCAAATACACAAAGACACCCCAAGAGAAATCAGAGTGTGATAAAGCAAAATTCACAGTAATATAGAAGTTTGTACAAATAATGCTAGAAATCTGAACATCCACTGACCAAAGGAGTAGCAGACCTTCACTCAGCCCTCTGGGATCAACTATAGAAAATCTGGAGTCATAGCCAAACTTCCTAACCACAGATTTGACAAAATTGATCTGCTTCTTAGTTTCAGACAGGAAAAGAAAAGTTGGGTGGTGAGTTCTCTTCAACTCTCTGATTTGGGAAATTGTAGAGGGCCCACTCAGCCCTCTACAATTCCACACCGCAACTAGCATTGATCACTTGGGTGCCATTCCAGGCTGGCAACCCCCACCTTATCATCAGAGCTTTTTAATTTCTTGCTTTCTTCTTGATTAATTGGTTGACCATCATTATCTGTGATGATTACATCCTTCTCTTCCCTGCCTCTTTTCCCTGTTGAAGAAGAAGATAATAAGGAGTTATGATGAATCACTATATCCTGTCTTTTCAGTCTGCCTTCTTTAGAAAGGGCTCTCCTCCAAACTTTGGTTTTAGCTTTGTTACAGTCAGAAAGGAGTTGATTAGAGATGATGGTAGATGGAACTTCTAACTCCATCTCCTGGGAGATTTCTGTGATAGGGACCACAGGTTCAACAACTACCATAGAAAGAGTAGTGGCATTGATGGTTTGATGATTGATGTGAGGAGCTGGTGTTGAAGGAGATTGATCCTGAGCTTGAAGGGATTTTGATGAAGAACCAAAAGTCTGGGGGGAATCAGTGATAAGAGGAAGAAGATGTAGCTTTTTTCTAACTTCTAACGAAAGGACTTGTTTTGTGTACTTTTTTCGGTCTTCCAATAGACGATGCTTCAAATTGTATCGATTATATCTAGGTATTATAGACATTGCCTCATTTGCATCCTTTCTGTGTCTGTGTATGAAGAATTACCGGTCTTAGGAAGAGTAGATGGAAGAATTATTCGAATCCTTGTTTGGGAGTCGATAAACTATACGTCCCCAAACGTCTGATTGCATTTTCCAACTGAAATGATGAATATAGTAAATGAATCCACGTAATAGCAAAAAAAAATCAAGAGCTTCGAGAGGTATCCGGAAGGAATTGGAATGGAATAAGATCGATTTATACAGAAGAAAAGGCGACGGGATTCCCTTCTTTCTTTTTCTGATTCGGGGGAAAGGGGCCCGTTGGGTTCGAGTCAGACAAAGACAACTTTGATTCCAAATTTTTCCCATGTATGTGATTTGATTGCACTGGTAGAGGAATTTTTTCACCTCTTCTTCTTCTTCTTTGGAAAATCTATCCAGAGAGATCCGATGGTCTTGCACTCGCAACCCTCTGGCTCCCATTCGTTGATTTCTTTCTTTCGCTCGTGATTTGTGGGACCATCCCTCGGCCTGGTCACAGTACCCAGCCGGACTTTTTTTGTTCAAACAAATTCTAGATAAATCATATCTTGTTGACTGTCATCCACATGGCTACTGGTTGTATGAATGTGCTCGTTGTGATTAGAAGATGGAGGTTTATCAGATTGAGGAGGACTGGTTTGTGACTCTGAGTTGCTTGAACCTGTCCAAAATTGGCCATCAGAAGCCCTCATCCAATCCCCACATTGGCCTTCCTTGACAGAGTCATTTTTAATATCCTGCAATCTAATAGCACAGCTTCTATCTAGATGGCCAATGAAACCGCAGTAATGACAATGATTAACCAGTTTCTCATATTTAAAGCTAACAGTCACTGCTTCATCTCCCAATCGGACATTTGCACAACGGGGCAAGGGTTCTGCTAAATCAACAGAGACAAGAAGTATAAGAATTTTCCCTTTGTGATGCCCGACACCCACCACTACCACATTCTTAACTGCTGGGAAGAACTTTTCAATTTTTAAGCCAACATCAGTACTCAACCAGTTAAGGGAAATGTTGAATACCTGTACCCATAAGTTGAGTTCCTGGAAAACTTGATGATTAATGGAAAGCCCTCTTTGCCACTCAGCTAGAATCATATATTGGTTTTCAAAAATCCAATTAGCTCCCATTGCAACTCTCTCAAGATCTTCCCTGTTTTGGAACAAGAATTGGAAATAGTTGTGGCCGAGTTCTTTAACTTCGACGGGCTGTTGCAACCTCCAGATTTGAGACATAGTGCGTTTGATGCCAATCCAACTAGCCTTTATGTCTCCTTTAACTTTGCCGAATAAACATCTACTACATTCTTCGTCACTTAAGCAGATATCATTTCGAGCAATGTCTATTGTCCAGTTTTCTCTATCAGATAGCGAGAATACTTTAAGTCGATGAGCAAGTTCATCATCTTGCCCTATACAAGGCGTAGAGCTCATAATGGAGAAACCCTAATCCCCAATCTGAGATGAAAGGCAAAAGCGAAAGATCAAAAGAAAGTAAAGAAATTTGATACAAGGATATCAAAAGACACCAGATGGCCGGAAAAAGAAAACCAGAATTCAAAGCTCTCCGTCGAGAGAATTTTCCCTCATTTTTATTTTTCAAAACGATAGAAATACTATTAAAGCTCAAAGCGAACAATGTTCGAATAGTACAGGCCAAACTCGAAGGAAAAAAAATTGATAGGACACGCATATAGCGGCCTAGAACCTCAACCAAGAAACAAAATTATAGAAATTGAAAAACACACTCCACAGCCCTGTGACCTAGAGTTACTGAAGAAAACACAAGAACTACTGCTAAACAAAACCAAGAACTAATAGACTACCTACCAAAAGAAGTACTAGAAACACAAAATAGAAATCAACCCGAGTGGATGAGAGTGTAGTCTATCCAGTCCTGTTGTGCAGCTTTGAGGACCATGTGAGTTGGCATGAGGGTGTTTTGGAATAGACTGAGATTACGTGTTTTCCAGAGCCACCAGAGGAGATACGTTGATAGTTGAATGCGAGCCTCTGATGTTTCTGATATGTCCAATGAACTAAAATGCCACCAACTTCTAAAATGCAAGTCATGCGAGTGATTTATATTCCAAGTGACTGGAGATATGTGCCATAGCTCTGCTGCCATTTTGCAATGGAATAGTATGTGGGAAATAGTTTCAGGGCCTTCACCACAGATGTCACAGATTACATTTAAATGCATTCCTTTCTTCATTATATATATGATAAATCATGTACTGACTAGTCAACAGCCACCAACCAAGAATAACTGCCAACAACCGAAACTAGTTGGGAGGCATACAACAAGGCAGCCTAGAATAAACTACATAACAAAACAACAAAGGTTCCCAACCAAACTCCCAAAGGGAGAACACCCTCCCAAACAAGAGGAGAAACACTCCCAAACAAGGGGAGAACAAACTCCCAACCAAGAGAAGGAGGAACTCCCACTAATGGAGACAAAACAACTCCCAACAGAGGAGACAAAACAACTCCATTTAGACCAAATAGAACTAGATACAGAGAAAGAAAACACAGAAAAAAAAACTAACTAAATGCAGAAACTAAAACTAAAGCGTAAGCCCTCCCCACCGACCACAAACGAGCACCCACCCGACACGACACGAACAAGCACTGAGGTAGCAAACCAGAACGGGAAGCAACACCCTTCACTACTCAAACCGAATCTAGAGACACCGAAACTAGATTCCCCGACCCGAATTGGCAGACCTAAGTCCTCCATAGTCCACTACCTCAGTTAGCCCCAGAAGGACAGAGCCGACACCCTTCCTCACCATACCCCCATCGTCGCATCCACAAGAACAGCCATCGTCCGGAGAGATCCGACATCCTAGCACCACGGACAGCCGAAAACAGGAAGACCAAGGCTCAGGCCCGAAGCCGAAGGTCGCAAGCAGCCACCAACCCAGCCCCGCGCTCTGCAGCAAGGCCGACAACCACCACCTACCTTTCACCATGGTATCCGAAAAAGGGAAGAAATCCACGCAAAGAGGGTGACCACCAACCATCGGGGAACAAGCTGACCAGGGTAACCTTGAGCCGGTTCGCACCCTGGGGGCGGCACATGCGCCGGTGGAGAGGCCAAAATTGATAGTAATTAAGAAAAATAAGATTTGGGGGGTTTTTTTTCTAGTTTTTTTGCCCCTGGAAGCGACTAGGTTTAACTCAATATTAGATTAGATTTGACTGGCAGAGAATTTGCAAGACATTTCCAGATAAACAACTTAACTTTGCTCATGACTTTTAAATTCCAAAGCCTGTGATTGGTTCTGTTCAAGACTTTACCACTCATAGAGCTGCAGTTTGGCAAATCCAGAGATAACATTTTTTGCTGGCATAAATAAGAGTAAGTGCTGGGAACCGAGAAGGTACTTTTCTTGTGAAATTTCCAGTAATGCTTGTGTAACACCCCGCCTAAAACTTACTAAAATCAGAGTAAATTTTTCGCGCTATAAATGGAAAGCACTGATTTAATTTCCGAAAACTCATCTTTATTTTTTGTTCGAAAATACATTAATTTTAAAACGCGGGATGCTACTCAACTTTAATCTTTATATCTTTATCTCTTTAATCTATCATGCATGCGACCAAGTAAATTCATTCTAAAATTAAGGCCATGAATAATACCGAATAAAACATGCATATTCTGAAAATCTGACATAATCTGACATCTGAAATACTAGTCTGAAATCTGACATCTGAAACATAAGTCTAACATGCAGAAGCAAGTACAAGTTCTGAAAAAACACACAAGCATAAAAACAAACATAGATAATTCAAACATGTTCAAATACTATATGACATGTTTTCACAAAAATGTCCTAAAGCTGGACCAACACCACATATCTGCACACGCGTCATGCGGGACTCCATCATCTGAAAAATAAGGTAGTGGGGAGGCGTGAGCACAAATAATCAATGGTGCTCCGCCGGGACCGGCATTGAATACTCAGCAATATTAATAACAAACTATGAAATCAACATATATATGAAAAAACTGGTCTGGCTATGGGACTAACGGTAAACCGATACTCATGTGCACACTCTGGGGGTCCCCTCCCACAGAAATCCAGGCTGGGCTTCACCCACTCATCTAGACGCTGGACTTAGGCTGGCCCTCGCCCACTCATCTAAGTCATAACTGACATCTAACATCTTGACCAAGACGGGATCACTCATCCATCTCGCTCCTTCAATTTAATCACATATAGACCTCAGACATGGTAAATTATTAAAAGCGATGAAATACACAGTACATGGTCCCCACCTGGAAACTGACGAATGCAAAAGCTGAAAATGAAGTAGGTAGCTGACGGAGGCTCGACTCTCCTCAAGCTACTAAATATATTGAGCGAAATATTCTAAGTACTGGCTCAGAATAATACTCAAATCTTTAATATCTTATTGTTTAGGTTCGCTCACTCTGATTTAAAAATTATTTTAGGGATTTACGAGGTTATTTTGAAAATATTATTGTCTTTAAGACATTCTAGAGTTCTCTGAAATATTTCTATGTCTCGAACTAAAATCTGACTTAAATCTAATCTGACTGAAATCTAAACTATATATGGATCTTTAATATATCTGAAATCTTAACTTTATTTGGAATCTTAACTGACTAGATTTGCAATTTAATGCAAGTGTAAGCGTCCTTTTCCGGTTTGAACGGATATATCTTGGTCCTCGCCGGTAGAACGCCGGAAACCTGCAAATAACTCTCACACCGGGGGTTGTGTCCGGTGAAGAGCCTCCGATGCTTAAGTCAGTATGTGTATGAGTATACTGGAATTGAGAGAATGAATAGAATGTGTTTTGGAAGAAAGGCTCACCCCCTTTATATAGGGGTGAGATACCTGCCCTAAGAGCTGCCCGGATGAGGTGAGCTGGCTGCCCAAGCTGCCCGTCCGTACTCTGATACGCCGCACACATGTCAGAGGTGGCGCAGGACGTTGGGAGTCATCAGAGGTAGTTATCACCATCACCCAATACATTGTCGACTCGTGTTTCCCCAGCACATGGGGTAAATATTCTCTGGAGATTTCAGTCAGAGGCTCCTACGCGTGCCTATGATACACGCGCCCATAACTAGGTCGATTATGAATTCCTCGAAGCGATCACACTGCTGGGATCGACTAGCTTGCCCGATCACTTATCTGATTGAATTATAGACTGCTCGATGTACCTGATCGAGCATTGGACTGCTCGATGTACCTGATCGAGCATTGGACTGCTCGATTTCTTGTCTGGTCGAGCGTTGGGTTGCTCGATTGCTTGTCTATTCGAGCCTTGAGCTGCTCGAGCGTCAACTCTCCTGCCTTTTTGGCTCGGCCTGCTTCCGGTTTGGCCTCCTCGACCGGCCAAGTAGGCCGATTTATCCTTGAGTATATAATATCTTATATCATCTAGTCCCCTCCACTCAAGTCGAGTCTAGATGACTCGATCTAAGAGTAAATTGGTATTTATCGACCTCCTTGATGGTTCGTCATCCAATGTCGACCAGCCAATAGGTTTCCCGCTCAAGTTTTCAAATAATTTCCCATTAATTGCCAGTAATAAAGTCGTCTGTTTCAAGTCCTTCCTGTCGCTCCTGCTTTTTTGCCACGCGTCACGCGTGTTCGCGTGTATAAGCACTTTAATGATGGCGCCCCCTCGCATAAAGTGCCCACTTGGAGTACCGTGTATTTTAATTTTTCCGCCGCACGATCCAACTTTAATCTGACGGTCCTCCTCTTTCACCCCTTAAACTCTCCAAAGTATAAAACCGTTACTTAGCAGAATTTCAGACTTTTTCCACCTTCATCTCTCCCAAATTCCTTTGCATTCAAAGTTCTCTCTGCAAAAAATCCTAGCTTCCGTCGGCGATTCTTCCTGCAATCTTCAAGTTTTCCCGATTCTTTCCTCCGTGATTATGAGTAAGTTGTTTTTCTCCTGATTTTGTACTTCCTGTATCTGGGCTTTTGTGTTTTGAGAAATTTTTCCTCTCTTTTCTTTTTCGAATTGGGTATCTGAAGTTTGCTGATTGAGTGTTTTGAATCTGTGCATTGAATTTTTGTGCTTGTCTGTTGATCGTTGTAGATTTCGCCCTTCCCCTTTGAAATTCTCTCGGAATCCCTGTTCATTTTCTTCAAAATAGCCCATTTTGCGGAACCCTAATTTTGAAAACCTTCTCCTCCTACCCTTCTCCTTTTTTGCCAAAATTCCTCTTTTTGATATTGTTCCTCTCTTCTTTTGTTTTCAGATCCTGCTACCTCGAC